ATCAAGTAACCAGAGCTTTTCCATCTTGTGCTCTGCCGCCTAAAGACCAGAAGCCAACAAGACAGATTCACTTTTATGCTGCACATTTGATTCCAGAGCAACTCTAGTGATCTGTAACCAACACAATCCTTGTGAAGTAACACAGATTATCTGCTTAGTAGCAAGCAATCTGTACACAGCAATGAGAAGCTGGGAACTTCAGCCTTATTTTAAAATACAGTCAAGAGAGGGCCTGTCCCTTAAATATGAGGAACTACTGTTGAAAAACAAACAAAACAAAAAAACCCATCAAACTTGAAGTTTTTTTTTTAATAAGCTATGATTTGATTAAGAGAATATGATGAGAAACATGAAAAACCTCACGATACACTTTGAAGTCAGAAACGAAGAATCATGAAGAATTTATAAAAGCCCACTGACAGCTTCAAAAACGTGCTCTGTGTTTGACTGGAACAACACGCAAGCAGCACGCAACAAGGGAAAAACACTTACCTTTAGTGTTGCAGTATCTCCCAGCAATGTTCCTTTGTAGTCAGTTGTGTAAGTCCAATCATAAGGCTTGACGACTTCCTTAGTGTGCTCAGTCTCACTCCTCAAGAAGTGAAAAAGAAAACAGCACACTTTGTAGTAATTATTAAAAACTTACAACCTCACATAAGGTTTTATGATTTCCACACTCATGTCCTAACTATCTGAGAAAAAGAGCAGTATTGCCTGTACTGGACTGATGATGTCAAGACTTAAGCACACAGTATTGGTTCTTCCACAACAGCTGATATCATAAGGAATTAGAAAACCATTACCCAAACTCCTCTGCTAACATTGCCTCAGGCTTATGAGTCAAAAACGAAGATTTTTAAGAGCTGTTGAAAAGTCTGTAGTTCACAGTCACTTCTTCAGTAAGCAGGCAGAAATTATTCTGCTGACAACACACAGCAATAATGAACAACATTACCTGTTTTCAAGACAGCTTTCATTTCTCTTCTTGACTTATTCCTAGGAGCTCTGCCATTCATTTGGTAAATACTAAACAGAACAAGTTCTCATGCACGATTGCCTGCTATGGTCCTAAGGCTAAGAAGTTGAACTACAGCATTCTGCACTTCTACACACCAGTACACACACTCTTGTAACATGTAAGCCCCCATGAATTTGAATAAACACAAACAGAACTAAATCATGTTAAACATGCACTAAGTTTGAAGAAAGCCAGGAAGCAATTGAAAAATGCTGCTGACACTGAGTAACTGAGATAGGATGATGAGGGCAAAAAAAAAGCAAAATGATTTCTGCCATCACACGCTGATTGCATCAATGGCAGAACTAAATACAATACAGTTTTCAGGAGTTGTCTGTTGCTTTAACTACTTTATCTCAGTTTTGCATACAACACACCAATACTTGCCCAGTGGTGGTAAAATACTGTACCTGCTCTCTTGCCACTCCTCTGCGCAAGCCACTTTGATCATACCTTGGCAATTATTGACACATTTTAAAGCATCGGTTGCATTGAACTCAATTCCAAAACCACGTTCATGCTGTATTCTCAAGATATTGTCTCCAAACATCATCTCTGGCAGGGAAGGCATCTGTAATTCTTCAGCCAGTCTGCGAAGAAAAAAAGCAGTCCAATAAGGAGACATCGGTCAGCCACAGCTGAGTGGAAACAATCTGTTCATAAGCATTCTCTAGACCGCAGTAATTGACAAAATACACCATCAGTATGTCTTAAAAACACTTTTACCTTCCCAGTTAATCATTTGACACGAATTACAGAATCACTGATCCTAAGTGACTTTTCCACCATAAGGTTATTTCTAAAGCTTGTCTTCTCCATCAGGAGAGTAAAAAAGCCTCACAAAGGACTAAAAAAAAAAAATTAAAATGATAAGGATTAAGTAGCAGCTTTCAGCCTACTGCAGACAAACCTGTGGATGAACCAAGAACCACTTTTGCAGATGGTCAGAAAGTTTTATGAAAGGGTACTTATTGTCAGCAAGTTTAAACTCGTTACACAGCAGCCCATACCACCATCCTTGGTACAAAACAGAGCCTGAAAACAACCATGGCAGAGCATGTTAAAAGCACAGTGCAGTACACACATGTACTTTAGGTTTATCTTAGATACTAGGAGGAAGCTTTTCACACAGAGGTGGTGATGCACTGAACAGGTTGCCCAAGGAGGCTGTGGATGCCCCATCCCTGGAGGCATTCAAGGCCAGGCTGGATGTGGCTCTGGGCAGCCTGGTCTGGTGGTTGGTGACCCTGCACATAGCAGGGGGGTTGAAACCAGATGATCATTGTGGTCCTTTTCAACCCAGGCCATCCTATGATTCTGTGAGTCTACTGCTCTACTGACTTCCCAGCTTTGTAGAAAACACACGCTGGTATTCATAACCTCCAAGCATGAATGCTGTGGAACCAACTGAACTTTGTGAATAGAATAAATACAATCCCTACAGAAAATATAAAGCCATTCCAGCTCACTTTTTATTTACATCATTTTTATACATACAGCTCTGTGCACACACAGACGTTTAGCAAAATATATGCTCTATACTCCTCCACCATTCCCTCCCTACCACTAGGTGCTTCATGCATTAAGATTAAAGAGCTTGTCCCATAACCATTGTACCTTTGCTTTTCTACCTTTTTCAACACATTGTGATCATCTCAGCAACCCTGAAAATCATCTACAAGGACAAAGATAATTTCTGAATGTTATAGAGGAAACTGCTTAATTTAAAATAGCTAACACTGAAAGAAACTGAACAGAAAAAAAGATGCGTACAGCAGGTAGCCTGTTCTAGACCAGCAGTTCAGCTCTGTCTCTTGCTTAAAGAAAAGAGTTAACATTCTCCTGAACTTGATTCCTAAGATCTTCATTTTTAAGAGACAGCATTTTGTGGAATGTCTTCACAAACATGTCAGAAAAAATGGAGTACTGCAGTAACAGCCCTTCTCCTGCAGAACACAGGCATTGCTCAAGTGAATGCTGAATCCTCTTTACAGAGGAATCAGTAAAACACACAATTTAAGTTTTCTTACCTGCAACTACTAAAAACTGCGGGATCGTTAGGGAAAAACAGTGAAGATTATTGTACGTATTGAGCACAGAATACAAACAGGAGTTAGTAACACCATTCCATACGTTTGGAGGCAGATATGCAGTTGAAAAAAATAAACATAATGCTGTTATAATAGAGAAAAAAAATGAAGTTTACTTGGCTTCTTATAATGCAAAAAGAAAGTGTAAAACTTCACGACAGTGGCCTCACACAAACAGAAAAACTGAGGGCAACACGACTGAAGTTTTCCTTCACAGCTCCCCACATACTTATTCTGGAAACTGAAGCCTAGAATAATCTGTCAAACTCAGCTGCCACCGAGGTCAGCTAGGGCCCTAACAGCTCAACTGTTCAGTTCCACATTAGCAAATCTGATTTAAGCACTCAATGCTGACACAGCAGCGTTTCATCCAATGGTCCGACAACAGTGGAAATTACTGCTGCAAGGAGAAAGCAAACAATCAATTTTTAATGAAGTCCTTTATGTTATTATAAAATAGCTTACAGGAGCGTGCGCACCACATATAAAAGCATCTTAACGGGCCTTAAAAGATAATCAACAACAATCACGCTTCCACTCAGCGGGTGCCCGATCGCTGAGGGCCGGACCTCCACCACCGTTAACGAGATTCTGACAGCCGCCCGTAAACAAAACCAGCCCATGCTCTTCAGGAGGGAGAAATATAAAATAAGATGCCCGAGGTGCTGGGCACGCTGTGTTCGGACATCTCCCAGCCCGGACGCGGCGGTACCTCGAGTACCCCGTTCCCACAGGCGGGCTCCCGGCCCCACGTCGCCCGCTCCCGCCTCACCTCTCGGCCTGCGCCGACTTCATGATGTGCGTGCAGACTGCGCTCAGCTTCCACGGTCCGAAGGTGAAATCGCGCCGGCTGCTCTGGAAAACGGGGTGCATGGCGAAGGCGGAGGGCGCGACCTTCACCGAGGAGAAGGCCGGAAGGGGCAACGGCGGCGGCTCACTCTTGCCCGCCCTTCCCGGCCCCTCCGCTACGGTCTCACGCCCCTCACGGCAACGGTGCCCCTCCGCAACCGCCGCCTCACCGAACTTCCGCTTCCGGGAGAGCGGCGCTGCACGCGCAGGCCGGAAGTCATGCGGCAGCGGCGTGGTGCGGAGCGCTGCGCTGGGCGAGCGGGCGGTGACTGCGCATCCCATCGCCTCTGCCCCACTCCTGGCGGAGCCCGCCGGGGGGAGGTCCTTAAAAGTGACCAGGTGTGACAGCGCGGCAAGCGCCAAGTCCCGCGTGATTGTGGAGAACGTTGGAGCTACGGCACATGGTTGTCCTTCGCGCCTTCGGCCACACCCGTGCCGCGCTCCCTAGGAGGCAGCAGCAGCAGCCCCTGCCCGACTGCGAGGCGGTGTGCCGGCGCTCGGGGCTGGACGGCCGGTTGGCCGCGCTCTGCCCCTCGCCGTGCCCGCCGACATCTCCCGGTGTAAAGCCAGCCCGCGGCTGTGCGCTGACAACGGGGCCGTGCGGCCCTGCGGCAGAGCCACGCCGTTCCCGCGGGCTGGACCCCTCCCGCCACAGCCCGCACCCGGCGGCGGGGGCGGTGCGAGAAAGAGAAAAGAGGCGGCGGATGGGTGGGGAGAGGGGCGAGCGCGGGGCGGGGGCATGGCGGGGCTCGGCCGCCGACACCCGATACCTCCCGCCCTGGCGGAGGCGGTCGGCGGGTGAGTGAATGCGGTGCGGCGGTGCGGGACGGGGCGGGGCGGGCACCGGGCGAGGAGAGGGATGCGCGGCGTGGCCTACGGGAAGCGCTCCTTTCGCTTCTTCCCTCCGGCCTTTGTTCGCTGCCGGAGGGAGCGCGGGGGCAAAATGGAGGCGATCCCCCGGCCCTGCTCGCGCTGCCCGCCGGCCTTGGGATGCGTCCAGCTTCGGGCGGGGTGGGGCGGGACGGGGCAGCCCGGAGGGACGCGCGGCGGCGAATGCCCCGAGGAGAGCTAAGCTGTGCGGTGTAAAGCGTGGCCCCGCTGCTCCTTCGGTGAGAGTCGTAGGAAAAAGCACAGCTGAAAAATGAGTAAAAGATGGCTCTGTGGCCTGACGGCGCTCCCGGGGCCGCGAAAGCCTCCCGATGAGACAGAGGTGCCCCGAGCGCTCCCGGCCTGCCGGGGACTGCAGGTGGGCACCGTTACGGCAAGGGAACTTCAGCCCCTCTGTCTCCTGGGGGTGTGAATAGCAACTTTGCATTGAGAAGTTGAAACCAAACTCTTGTTTTTTTAGTTTTTGTATTTGCACTTTTAACGTTATTTGTTCTGGTGTGTTGGGTGGTTGGGTGGTGGGGTTGGATGAAGGAGGTTGGAGCACAAGCTGGAGGTAGCGGGGAGAAGGGGCTGAAGAGCTGAGGGGAACGTAGAGATTTAACCAGAGGAGGTGGTGAGGCAGCAGGCTGGGTGCTGAGCACTGAAACTTCACGCGATTAAGGGTTTGTGGGCACTGCTGGAGAGTGGGCTACAGCTTAATGCCAGCTGTCTTTTGTACCCTTTGTACTGAAGGCTTCTTTATGCCAGGCCTTTGGTGTTGGAGTTAGAATTGCTGTTCGTAGCTGTGATGATGAACCTGGAGAGAGCACACTGAGAATATGGGCAGTGTTTCCTGAGCCTTTGGACATGACCTGGAAACTGTTAAGGAGTCAGTAGGATATGAGTATGAGTAGCCAGACACCCACAGACACCAGCAGATGCTGTATATGCGAAATGCAGTGTAACAGTGAAGATGGTCAAACTGGCCAAACTTAAAAAACAACAAAAAAAAAACAAACCAAAAAAAACCCTTACCTTCCTTCAAGTTATCAAAGATTTAGTTACATCATTTTTATTTCTTCCAGCCTAGACATACAGCTGGCTGGTATGGCTTAGGAAAAAAAATACAACTTAGCAAATCTATAAATAAAGTGTGTTAACTTTCTTTGTTTCCTCGTGTTCCACTTGCCTCTTTCTGTCTTTCAGATAGTTTCTTCCCTTTTCTAGGCTGGGCTCTGCTACTGACCTCCGGTGTACCCATTGTCAATCTCCTGCCCCTTCGGTTTCCTACCTAAAATGGTTTCCTGCATCCTCCAGGTAAGGTTTAATTGATGCAGACAGAAGAGTTTCCAGTCTTTGGAGAGAATGTGAGGAAATGTTGCTGGAAAATTTCTGAGCGGTGTTGTTCTGCTTCCAGGTGCTCAGCATGTCTTGGCCGCTCCTGCTCTGCTCACTCTGACCATGAGCAGCAATTCTTCCCTCAGCAATGGGAACACTCTGAGGAACCTCACCACGCAAGAAGACGGTGCGGTCAGAATCACTGAAGCCGTTGCTATAATCGTCATTGCTGTTTTCATCTGCTTGGGCAACCTCATCATTGTTGTCACCCTCTATCGGAAGTCTTACCTTCTCACGCTGAGCAACAAGTTTGTGTTCAGCCTGACCCTCTCCAACTTCCTGCTCTCTGTCCTGGTGCTGCCTTTTGTTGTCACCAGTTCTATCAGGCGGGAATGGATCTTTGGAGTTGTTTGGTGCAATTTCTCAGCTCTGCTCTACATGCTTATCAGCTCAGCCAGCATGCTTACTCTTGGACTCATAGCCATAGACCGGTAAGTGGCTTTTTGTGATGAGTGGTAACCAATTGCTCAATCATTCCATAGGGTGACTTGTTGGCTGTGTGCAGGCTGGAGAAACACTGCTTGGATGACACTGCATGCAGTTGCAATGTCGTTTTCCTTCAGTCCCACGTGAAACTTTGACACAGAGCAGAAGAAAACATTGCCATTGATAATATAAAAAGCTGATTTGCATCTAGCTATTTTTAAAGGAAATAGTGCTGTAGTAATACGTTACTTGTAAAACAAGAAGCAACAATTTAAAATTCACTCCCAGGGGCAGATTGCAAGAGGTATTTGGATGAGGAGCTATGAGATATTGCTTAGTGGTTTGTAGTAGCAATGGTAATGGGAGCACAGTTGGACTAGATGATCTTGCAGGCCCTTTCCAACCTTGTGATTCTATGACTTAATAGTTATGTGTGCCTTCAGCCTAGTTTTACAGTCTTCCCTGCAAAGCTCTGTATTCTTACATTCAATTACACTTAACAGGCTTCCTGTTAAAAATAATTCACCTTGAGGTTCATAGAAAAGTGTATGTTGAAGTTTAGAGAAAAGAGCCATATATCAACATCATTACATATGTTTTTTGCTGTTCTTGATTTGTGCTCCTGTTGACTTTTTTTTGTTGTTCACCAGGTATTATGCTGTCCTTTACCCTATGGTATACCCAATGAAGATTACAGGCAACAGAGCAGTGGTGGCTCTTGTGTATGTGTGGCTACATTCCCTCATTGGCTGCCTCCCTCCCCTCTTTGGCTGGTCGTCTTTGGAGTTTGACCAGTTCAAGTGGATGTGTGTAGCCGCGTGGCACAAAGAGGCTGGTTACACTGCCTTTTGGCAGGTCTGGTGTGCGTTGCTGCCTTTCCTGGTCATGATGATCTGCTATGGGTTCATATTCCGTGTGGCTAGGATTAAAGCCCGCAAAATCCACTGTGGCAGTGTTGTCATCGTGGAGGAGGACTCCCAGAGGAATGGGAGGAAGAACTCCAGCACTTCCACGTCCTCCTCAGGAAGCAGAAGGAACGCTTTCCAAGGGGTTGTCTACTCTGCCAACCAGTGCAAAGCTTTCATAACCATCTTGGTGGTCATCGGTGCTTTTGTTATTACGTGGGGACCTTACATGGTAGTAATAACATCGGAGGCGCTTTGGGGAAAAAACAGTATTTCTCCTGCCTTGGAGACATTAGCTACGTGGTTGTCCTTCTCCAGTGCCATTTGCCACCCGTTAATTTACGGACTGTGGAACAAAACAGTGCGCAAGGAACTACTAGGAATGTGCTTTGGGGATCGGTATTACCGTGAGTCGTTTGTTCAGCGGCATAGGACCTCAAGGTTATTCAGCATTTCCAATAGGATCACAGGTAAGACATTCTTAATACACCACTAAGAGCAATTCTTCATATTGCGTCTAGCTGGCACGTTTCAGAGCTCTGTAAACAAAGTAAGATGTTTCTGGAGGCTTCAGCAATCTTGTTTGGTTTATCACAGACACTTGAAAGGAGAAAACCTTGTCCTCTTAGGCCAGTAAAGTTTTCCCTGCCGAGGGGACATAGTAATTAAGTTAATAAAACTAATCTCTCTCAAACTCCTCTTGTAACTATTGTAACCATTTTGTTTTATTGAGATTTAAGCACTACCGACAGCGTATTTTGTGATCACCCTCCCTAAAGATTTTTAGGAGCCATGCAGATGTGGCACTGAGGGGCATGGTACAGTTGGCGTGGTAGTGATGGGTTAATGATTGGACTAGATGATCTTAGTGATCTTTTCCAACCTTAGGATTCTATGATTTTGCCACATATACTGCACACTAGTTCTGTACTATAACTCTCGGATTCACTGAACTTATACAGCTCTTGTTATATTACAGTATTTCTGTGAACTCAGATTTTATGGTTGTGAAGATCCTAAACACTGTAGAACTATGTAAAGTAGTAAATCTATTTGGTGTGTCCCTTAGTTGCAGTCTGAGAGCTTCAGCTGCTCAGAATTTCCTTTTTAATTAGTAATGCAATAAAATTCTAATTTTTTTTTTTTTTATCCTTTTTCTGGTTCTGCTTAGAATCTTCCAAAAAATAAGACATTTTCATATGGTTCCTTAGGACATTCCAGGCAGAGGTGATAACTAAAGTTACTTAATTGGGAAGGAAGGTCTGAAATATAGAAGTAAGGGGAGAATAGCAAGGCATCTGTTGTCTTTTTGCGACCTGGAGTTACTGGAAGAGACTCCATATAAAGGAAGGAGTTGTGCAGCTGCACCACATCACAAGCTGCAAGAGATTTCTAGTTCTCCTCCCTTTGCCAAATCTGTATCCATGAGATGATGTGAATGAATATGTTGGGATCTGGTGGGAGGGAAAAGATAGGAAAACTTCGTCTTTCCAGGTTATAAGAAACTGATAATAGTTTCAGATGTATTGGGCGTACCAGCTGGACAGTGATAGGAAAAAAAAATACATCTTTATGCAAGATCCAAAGACAGCACTTATGTAAGAATCCTAGATTCTCCTCCTTCCCATATTTGAGGATTTGAAAGAAGCAAGCTCTCTCAGTGCCCTGGTATTGCTAGTAAATTTCTTGCCATGCTAATGGGCTCTCCCACCTGCTGGTGGCTACCAGGTTGTTCACTGGCTAGCAAGTGTCTGGCAAGTGATCCCATCTCTGTGGGTATGCGTGCTCAGTGTTCAGCCTGTCTTGCTGATAAAACATGCAATTGCAAATGGAGTGGGAGAGAGATAGCGTGGGTAGAAGAGAGTCTTGTCGTATGGAAGGACTCCAAAGATACTTGAAAGCAGCTCACCTGATGTTTCTACTTGTAAGATGGAAGGTCCAAATGCTCTGCACTCTGGAAGAACAGTAAGTTTTACAGATACAAGAGTAAATGAGGTGGTAGAATCAGTGTTACTATAAGTTCTTGCTCTTATAGACCACTTAACCATCCACTGAGTAATGAGAATGAAACTCTTTTGCAGATTTGGGACTATCCCCTCATCTCACTGCCCTCATGGCAGGTGGGCGGACATTAGGAAACAGCAGCAGCACAGGAGACACAGGTTTCAGCTGTTCACAGGATTCAGGTAAATAAAGGCTCTTGCTCTCTCATCTTGGGCAGAAGTTTGCACTTGTAACTTGGCAGAACTCTCTGCGATAATCGGTGTTTACATACTCGGATGTCTCTCGATGGATGGAAAACGTGAAGCATCTGTTCCAGCTGTCACAATAAAACCGCTGCAATCCCTTCCCTTCCTTGCTCTCAATGTAACTACTTGCAAGGAGTAATGACCCTCCCTTGCTAGTGCTTCCTGGGAATGGGACATACTGCTTATGATTTTCTCCTTCAGTTTCTGTCATTCTTCTTGAACTTTGCCTGTATCTGCAAGAAACAGAGCAACAAAGTGATGTGGAGAATGCTTCTCTGATTCCTAGTTTGTAATAGGCCTTATCACACTGACCCTGCAGTCTAAACATAACTGCATCAGATGGTTTCAGCTTGGGATTTGTCACTACTTAAGATCTCTGAGTTGAAGGTAGTTTGGAGAAGGGAGAAAGATTTCTGCCAGACATTTTTCTATCCAAAACTAACTAAATTTTTCTGGCAGTTATTTCAGCTACCACTTCTTAACTGATCTGTAATTATTTTAAAAGAGTAGTTCTGCTTTAGAGACACCAGAGGGAGATCTTTTAACAATTGCTTTACCAGAGGTTTGTTTCTTGCATTTCTAAAGCAAATCTATGGAGCTGGGTTTTATTTAGGTAGTAATTTTATGCTTGTATTTTTGTGCCTGCTGTGAGTATTGTGCAACTGTGTGTGACAAATGAGAGTAACATCAGATGAAGCCTGTTATTGTTTGAAATCATTGTGTGTTGCCATCATTTGAGGAATGATACTGAGCAGTTTAGATGAACAAACCAAATTTCTACCATAGGCCATTAGAAGTTCTGCTTCAAAGATACTTTCTTCTTTGATCTTGCTAGTAGCACCCTTCCGTTGTATGGTGGTAGCTTTGGAGATCAGTAGGAGTCAACTATTTTCAGCAGACAGGTTCAAAGCCCAGTTGATCCACAGAACATCACAGAAAGCTGCTAACGTGTTTTATGCTGCGTTAGAACGTAAGCTCACTGTGTGCTTAATTGAATAATGGCAGAACACATAAATTTCACATTATGTAGTGCACTGACAAACTTTTTATCGATCAATTGTCAACAAATGCTAGACCTATGGAGAGGTATGTTGTCTACAGCTGCATTTCCAGCAACATCTTTCTCTCACTTTCTGTAAAATTGGCACTGGAACACCTCCTTGTTGCAAAAAACAATAAATCTGGGAACCAAAAGTGTTGAAATGAATGAAGAGGGATGTGAAGTCGCTACCTGGAGGTGTTAAGAAACCTGTGAAGACTCTTTGTCCTGGCCTGGTGCCATGTCACAGGATGCCATGAAAGTAGTGGTAAAGATCACACGTAAGGAAGCTGTGCCTTGGAACACTGGCTTTTCTGAGGGCTGCTCAGTGTTGTCTTGGCATTTCCCCAGACTGCTTGCTCTGCCTCCCCCTTGTACAGCTAAGACACCAGCATCACAAGGGAGGACTAAGCTGCAGTTTTGCTGTTTGCATGAAAGCACTGCAGAGATGTCAAGATGAATTTCCTTGTGCTCAAACACAATTTAATATCAAAAAGGTGCAAAGCAAATACTTAGAGGTGAAATGACTGATAAACTGAAAATGACTACTCCCTATTAAAATACACTTGAGAAAATCAAAATAGTTTGTCAAAAACTACATTGTAGAGGAGAAGTCTCCAATTCAGATTTCCATTGTGGTCTGATTGCAAGCCTGACATTTGGCAGCTGTAGTCTGCTTCTCAGGTGGCCATCGTTAGCTTCTGTCTTGATCAGATGTAGAAGTTGCCCTTGGCTTTACCCTTTATTAACAGAAGGTAAGGTTTCACCTTTGCATCACGTCCTATTGATGTTATAATCTCTGCAGCTGAGCGTTTTGGAGCCACTTGGGGTTTTATATTGCTAACGAGAAAAGAATTCCAAATCCTTTCTATGAAAACTCTGAACTCATTTGTTTTGTGTGCAGTGTTTAATTAAAACAAAATTTGCCCACAAGGGCTGGATTTAGACATCTTCAGAAGGAACAGTTGCAGACTGGAAAGATTTTGGCACTACTTAACATTTTGGTTTCTCTCTTCATGTAATTTTGTTATTGTATCTGAGCATTGCTGTTTTTCACTTTGAGAACACTTGCTTTGTTTCAGGAACAGACACAATGCTTCTTGAAGACTATAGCTCAGATGGCCCTTCTCTTCCACATTGTGTCTGTCCTCCTCGAAGAAGGAGTTCAGTGACATTTGAAGATGAAGTAGAGCAAATTAAAAATGGGCTTAGGGGTAAGTATGAAAACACTCAGAACAAAATATATTACCTTCTCAGGAAGCCTCTTAGGACCTCTAGAATTGCCTGAGAACATATCACGGAATCATAGAATGGCCTGGGTTGAAAAGGACCGCAATGATCATGTAGTTTCAACCCCCCTGCTATGTGCAGGGTCGCCAACCAGCAGGCCAGGCTGCCCAGAGCCACATCCAGCCTGGCCTTGAATGCCTCCAGGGATGGGGCATCCACAGCCTCCTTGGGCAACCTGTTCAGTGCGTCACCACCTCTGTGTGAAAAACTTCCTCCTAATATCTAACCTAAACCTTCCTGCCTCAGCTTAAAACCATCCCCCCTTGTCCTATCGCTATCAACCCATGCAAACAGTCTTTCCCCCTCCCGTTTATAAGCTCCCTTCAAGTATTAGAAGGCTGCAGTGATTCTCTCCAGAGCCTTCCCTTCTCCAAGCTAAAGAAGCCCAGTTCCCTCAACCTTTCTTCATAGGAGAGGTGTTCCAGCATATCTAATAACTGTTCACTTTGAGAGATCTGACACCTAATACAAGCACTTCAGAGAGTAAGAGCAAGTTTTTCTTTCAGTTCTGAAGCAGCAGCAGGCAAGGACAAGAGTTAGAAGATGGGATTCCCTTCATGCACCACACCTATGCTGAGCAGCAGTATCTTCTCTGCAACTCCACTTGTCTAGCTACTACTGCAGTCTGTTTTATGTTTCTCAATGAACATATTTTCCTGCCTTCGTACTTTGATTCTGTTAAGTCATTGCTTCACATTTGCTGCCTACTCTCAACTTTGTCATTCATAGCCTTGAAATCTGTCTATTTACAGATTTCATTGATCTAAATATAATTGTGTTGTTTCTATTTTTGTTTGTTTTTAACTTTATCAACTGGGCACGTTTCTCAGTAGATACAGCTGGAAATAGATGAATCATGTACAACTTTTTTTCAGCCAGCTCATGTTGATACTGCACTAATGAAGTGTTATTGTGGTGATCTGTAGGTGTTGCAAGGTTAGTTTAAGGTAGGCTGATTGTTGTGGGAGTGTGAACTAGAAGTCTTGGTAATGAATGACTGAATTTACTAAATAATTGTCAGTGCACGAATGAGCAGAATACCTCAAAGCATTGAGTAATGATAAAACCTATCTCATTTTTACAGTTATGAAATAATAAGAGCATGCATAGATTAGAATCATAGAATGGCTTGAGTTGGAAGGGACTTCAAGTATTAGTTAGTTCTAACCCCCCTGCTATGGGCAGGGCTGCCACCCACCAGCTCAGGCTGCCCATGGCCCCATCCAACCCAGCCTCAAACATCTCCAGGGATGTGGCATCCTCAGCTTCTCTGGGCAGCCTGTGCCAACACCTCACCACCCTCTCAGCAAAAAACTTCCCCCTCACATGTAATCTAAACCTCCCACTTTTTAGTTTTAAACTGTTCCCCCTCATCAGGTTCAGAAAATCATTCAACATACACTTTTGGAAATTAAACATACATATATGAACACTTTGCTTTATCAGATCACTTTTTTTTTTTTTTTTTTTCACTTGAATTGGAGGGAATTTTTCTCTACTTATTTTATGTTTGCGCTGAAGCTTTGCGTTCATTGAATGGCTTGGAAATACTGGATGTTCTTGGTAAATGCACTGTGTAGGGTAGTTGCTTTACAGAAGGCATGGTCGTACCTTTACACATGGATCGATACTGATGCATTTGCACAGCCCTGCTGTTTGTTCTTATTTACCGTTTTTTGCTTTTTTCCTTTCAGAAACTGCAAAGAATTCTGTTCTTCACGTAAAAGCTGATGTTCATAAATCTCTGGACAGTTATGCATCCAGCTTAGCAAGAGCTATTGAAGCTGATGTGAAAATCAGCTTGTTTGGGGAAGGTGCTTTACCAGGAGCTCTTTTTCCTGCGCGGACTCTGCCAGGAAGCGGTGTGAACACACGGCGTGGCATCAGGCCCCATGCTAGCCAAAGACTTCAGCTTCAGAGCATCGATGAAGGGAATATTTGACAGAAGAACTAGAGGAAAGTAACGGAGTGAAACCACTAAGCGGGACCTACCATGTCTGTTACTGTTTGAACAGAAGCAGGATACCTCGTTGGGACGTTATCAGTGATCTTTGAAAACACATGAATGTCGGTTGAATTCTGGTACTTGCATCAGCATTTTGCAGCAGTATTTACTTGTTGTTTAGGGTGCTATTGGACTTCTTTTTGCCACATCTGAAACCTGTCATACAGAGCATAGGAACACAGAATTTGTTTTTTTTTTTGTCAACCAAATCATTAGGCCATTGAATCACATTGTCTCTTTTCAGCCAAAGCTGACGCAGAGATGTAAAGTATGTGCAGTGTTTAATAATTGTAGTGATCCTTTTCTGAACACTAGGATCATCCATTTATACTTGATACCCTGAGTGTTCTGATGGGGGCTTGTACGTTGGTTTCTACACGCAGTCTTACTGTCAACATTCCCAAATAATAGAGCATGGAACACTAAGGACAACAATTGAGCTTTACAGAGAGCTCATGTATGTTATTATTCTTCTTATCCTTGCTAGCAGACATTTCTGGCCATTTGTCAGAATGCTAGGTATGAAAACTAATTGCATGTTGCTTCTGCTTTACGAGACACCTGCTTCTCCAGATGTCATGGGTTGAAGCAGACCAGCGTTGGAAGTTTCACAGAAATATTTGAGAAGGACATCACTGCAGAGTTCTTAGTTTCTCTGAGAACTGCAAGTCTTCCCTGCTTTTGCTTTGACTAAAAGATCACCCTGCAGCTTCAGGAAGCTTGACAGGACATGAATAAGGTATTACCACTTTCATCATGTATGCAGGATTCATCTTTTCTATAGAAGGAAATTCCATGGGTTATTTTTTAATCATGAGAGAATGTAGTACTTCATAGTTACCTCAGTGCATATATTTTTTTGGAGTTTTAATTCATTAATCTCTAGAATAAGACCATTTAGCACTTACGTTGCACCTTGCACATTCTAGGCACTGTACAGACTTTACCTTGTTAGGCCTGTATGAGAGGGCTGATCAGCCTTGCTTGCCAAAGAAGAGGAATGCAGGAACAGTTGAGCCAGAAATGAAAGCAGCTGCAAGGGTGGAAAGATTTGTTATGAAAAGAGGGATGAAGTGGATCTTATGAGAATGCCCAGCATGAGGAACCTCACTGTGCCTTTCTAGCCTGGACCTTTTCTTCCTTTATGGAAGTTACTGCCCTGCCTTAATGTTTGTTTCAAGGAGATGGATCAGTAGGATATCCGTTTCTTGAGGTTGGGATTCAGTAGCAAATGGACTTATGGACTGAGGACCTGTATTTATTTACTCTGTGTCTGTTCTCCACTGTCTCTCATTTTAAGTGTTTACTTTTGTTTCTTTTTCTTAGAAGTGATCTGAGCTTTTGCAGCAGATTCTTTGGAAATTGAGGGAGACTGTTTACATCTGGTCAAAAAATTAAGTTGATGGTTGTTAAATTATGTCTGCTTGCAACTTTCTCAAAGGTACAGAAACAAAATAAGCTTTGAGGCAGAGCCTCATCTCTGATTTTAGACATCCTGTTTGTCCATCTTCTTAACACAGAAACACGTTTCAGCACAAGCTTATGTCAGTCTGTGGATAAAGCAGCTGGTCTTTTTGAACTAGCCTGAATCCATGACATTCCCACGTAAGATTTAATTGCATGCTTAAAATTCAGTATGTGGTTTGGTGATTAAGAATGAGCTCTTAAAGTAAGAACACGTAAACACCATAAGATAGCTCTTTAAATAATGTAGAATGAACTGAGCTGTAGACTGGATGGAGAGCTGATGTGCTAAGCAGCAGTGTGTGTGTACCAGCTCCCTATTCCTGTGTGTTAGTTGACACTTGGGGGCACTTCAAAATCCAAGTTCCACTATTTGCCAGGAAATGCCTTGTACTGAGGTTATTATTGCTGTCATTAATACTTCAGTCGTACTTGCTTATAGTGGTCAGTGCTCCTTAAGGTATGTGCTTCCCCTCAGAGGGCTTGACTTGTTTTATCTGCATCCCTTTTCTTTCACATTCCTGCTTCCAAACAAGTTGAGTGAATGTGGAAAGGGCAAAAGTGAGTGATGTGAAGTCAGTGCTAGGCCAAAACTAATAGGTTTTTTTTAGGAGCAAAAATTTTCACATCGCATGTGAGCGCACAAAATCACGTGTGTTTTATAAAAAGGATGTTTTTCAGAATAATACTGAGCCTAATTCAGTCTTCAGGCAAGTCAGCAAGGCTGCAGCTGTTCGGACCAGTACTGAATTGGGCTCTCAGTGTTCATTTCACTAATCCATTATTTAGTATGAATGTTGTCAATATTTTTGCTAATCAAATTGTAGCCTCTCCATTTCTCTGTTACTACCAGCATCATTTTCTCACTTGTCATAAGTTAATGCGGTAATGCACACAGTTTGTAAAATTATATCCCCCATCTGAAATACAGAAGAAAAAACCAAGTTTCTAATGGTTTCTAATGGTTCAAGATGTTTGTTTATACTCCTGTTAATCTAAACGCTCCTTGAATTTAGAGCCATGCCTGCTGCCCTGGGCAGCCCGTTCTACACCCAGAGCCCTGTGGTGAGGAACACGTCCCTGCCCAGGAAGTCTGCCGCAGTGAGCCCAGAGGCCTCGGCGAGTCAGGAGGCACACCGAGCTTAACGTTAAGACAGCTTTCTCAGCTGAGAGGAGTAAATCGAGGTCTCCTTCCTTTAAATCTCGCAACCGTGGGCACCCAAGCGAAAAGCAGGCAGCTTTTTTGAGGGCTGGAGCGCCTGAGGCGGAACCGACAGCAGCAGCAGGCAGCCTAGGCGACCGTTGGGGTGCCGGCAGTCCCACCCCCTGTCCGCGCCAGCCAATAGCAGTGCCTCCTCCTCCCGCCCTTTTGAAAGGAGGAACAGACCGGGGGCGGAGAGAAGTGAGAGCGCAGCGGCGATTGGCTGTCCCGTCCTGATCGGGCGGTCCATCCGCAGGCGCTCAGTGTGATTGGTCGGTTTGCAGGGAGGGGGGCGGGGTGCTTGTGCAGCGATGGAGGCGGTGGTGTGCGCTGAGCATGGTGAGGGGCGGTGGTAGGGGGGGTATTCTGGAGGAACTCTGCCGGCGGCGTGTCTAATTCGTCCCGCTCTTCTCCGCCCTGCAGGCTCCCTCTGCCTTCTGAAGACCGGCGTCCGCGATGGCCCCAACAAGGGGAAGAGCTTCTACGTGTGCGGGGCTCAGGGCCCGGCGCCGTGCGGCTTTGTCCTGCCGGCTGAGTGCGTGAGGGGCTCGGGGCGGGAGGGACCGCGGGGCTGAGCGAGTCCGAGGGCTTTGGATGTTGGCCTGAGGGAAAATCTGCGTCGCGTCAGGACTTATGGGCTTTATTTTCTTTGCCAAATTGTCTTTGAGAAGATGCTCCGAGTGTCGTGTCCCGAGTCGGTCTTTTGGTCGCTGTGGCTTTGATGGCGCGTGTTGTGTTTATTATTCCTTTCCTCGTTTCAGTGTTCCTCCTTCGTACTGTTTGGTCCATGAGGGGTACATGGTGGAGCTGCAAATCCTGGTTCAGCAGCAGCACAGAGATGTGTACCAGTAAGTTCCTCCAAGCAGAAGCCAGGGTTGGCTGTACAGATGTGGGTGACTGGAACTGTGTGGGGATGGCTGACCTTCTCTTCTACAGCTAAAAAATAACCTCTGGACTTAAGGACTTGGCTTACTCTTTTCAAAATGTTCTTTATTTTTTGTTAGTAATGATATTCAATTATATACACCTGAGTGATTCATTAACGCTTCTTTTTAACAGAATTGAACCTAGCTTTGTTGTTGGGTTCATCAGAGTTTCGTTTTGATTGCATCAAATTCAGCAGTATTAATTCAGATAGAGTTCTTGCAGCTGACCTTGTTGTCTGCCCGTTTTAAGAATATCTCTCTTAAGTCTGTCATAGAATAATAAAATGGGTTGAAAGGGACCTAACAGATCCTCTTGTTCCAACCTCCCCGCTGTGGAGACATGCCAGCCACTAGATCAGACTGCTCAGGAACCCATCAAGCCTGACCTTGGATGCCTCCAGAGATGGGGCATCCACAACCTCTCCGGGCAGCTTGTGCCTGTGCTTCACTACCGTCTGAGTGAAAAATTTCTTCCAAACATTTAACCTAAACCATCCCTTTTTCAGTTTAAATCCATTCCCTCTTGTCCTGTCATCATCTACTTACGTAAAAAGTCCTGCTTGTAAGCTCCTTCCAAGTACTGGAAAATTGCAGTGAAGTCTCTCCAGAACTTTCTCTTCTCCAATCTAAACAATCCCTATTCCTTCAACCTTTCATCATAGGAGAGGTGCTCCAGCCCTCTGATCATCTTCATGACGCTCTTCTGGACACCCTCCAACAGCTTTGCATCCTTCTTGTACTGGGGACCCAAGGCCTAGACACAGTACTCCAGATGGAGCCTCACAAGGGCAGAGTAGACAGGTGCAATCCCCTCTCTCATCCTACTGTTCACCCCTCTTTTGATGCAGCCCAGGATACCATTGGCCTTCCAGGCTGCAAGGTATGGCTACTCTCAAGGAGTTAATCTCCCAGTCTCTAGTCATATCTGGGATTGTCCCAACCCAAGTGCAGCACTGTGTTCTTGGCCTCATTAGGTTCTCCTGGGTCCAGTTTTCAAGCCTGTCCAGGTCCCTCTGGATGGCATCCTTTCCTTCTGTTGTATTGACTGCACTGCTCAGCTAGGTATCATCAGCAAAGTTGTTGAGGGTGCACTCAATCCCACAGTCTAAGTAGTCTGTGTGGCATCATGGTAGAATAGCCATTTTCTCACGCCTAAAAATCATGAGACTTTGGAGCATCTGGACATAAGACAGTGTTTTTACTTCAGCAATTTGTAGCACGCCTTTAGCTTTCATTTCAAGATTTAAAATGAACCAGTGGCTCAGGGGAGACTTTATTGCAGCCTTTCAGTACTTGGAGAGAGCTTATATGCAGGAGGGGGACTGACTTTTTGCATTGTAGATAGTGACAGGACAAGAGGAATGGCTTTAAATTAAAAGAGGGGAGATTTTGGTTAGATATTATGAAGAAATTCTTCACTCATAGTGGTGAGGCCCTGGCAAAGGCTGCCCAGGGAACTTGTGATGCTCCGTCCCTGAAGGCGTTCAAGGCCAGGTTGAATGGCCTCCGATCTGCTGTGTGGCAAACCTGCCCGTGGCAGGGGGGTGTAGCTTGATGATCTTTAAGGTCCCTTACAACCTAAGCCATTCTGTGGTTCAAAACAAACCCCCATACCCTAAGGAATTATATTCAGGGAATGATAACTGGGTAGCAAGCATTGTTACCATCATTTGTGATTTTTGCTATGCAGAAGTCTGGATTTTAATCTCAGATCAAGTGATATTTTCAGCATCACACTAGTTTTTAAAGAATGGCTAGAGCTCCTCTAATGACACTTTTGCTTCAAATCTTGCTTTATTCTTTGATAGGTTGTTTTACCGATGTGTTAACAGTAAGTTGAATGGGAAGAAATGGTGTGGAAGTGTGCCATGGCAGGTACGAGTGTTTTATTTATTGCAGTATCAACTTATTCCAGTGTAACTTCGTTCTAACTGCTATAATTGCCTCCAAGATCACATAGTGAGAGACTTTGTATTCTCTAGTTGATATCCTTATCAGTCTGTTGTCCTCCATTTGAGACTTCTAACTTCTAAATTGTGGGAAGTAATCAATGTTCCTCAGTCTTCAAAAAAAAACACCTGAAAACAGAAAAAAGGAAAATCCTGGCTTTGCTTTCCAGCCATCCTTCTTTCTTGAGAATGGTGCTGTTAGGACTTGATCCCCAGACACCATGGGAATAGCTAAGGCAGCAGGAAAGCAGCAGTGTTGTTTCTTTTTTCCTTGCAAAATGTTTATCCTGCCCTTGCTAAATTGTAGGAAAGATGATGTTGATAGACAATGAAGCCTTGCTTGAAGTAATTGGATTGTGTGTATAGTTAGCAAGTTTTATTACTGATATATTAGCACTTACCTACTTATGTGTATTGCAGGATTCAAAAGGTACCAAACCATCAAAAAAATTAGAATTGCAGCCCAAGAAGGCACCTGTCTTCAATCCCAGTGGCCAAAGAAATCCATTCAAGGTGATAGACAAGAATTGTGAAGCATCATCCTGGAAACAAATTAAGCAAGGCAGTGGAGAGGAAAGTAAAGCAAAAGGAGTTGAAGTGGAAAAGGGTGATGTGGTGGAGTCACATAAAGAAAAGTCCACCTCTGGTTCTTCCACAGAGAAGGAACATCCAGAAGAGCTGAAAACTGAAAAACAATCCAAGGGATGTAGGAGTGATTCAGAACTTAAGGGAAACACAATATCTGAATCTAAACTTTGTCTTTCTGAGACTTGGAAAGGAGAAAATACCCATCAGGATAAAGAGAAGTATGGAGGAAGTGGCAAAGAATCCAATAAATCTGAACGTGTGGAGGAAGAGCCAGGTGGCAGATCTGAACTCTTCCCAGTCAGTTTTGAAAAGCAAAGTACAAATAGCAAGTCTCCAGAGAAAGAAAAGTTCACAGATAAAA